ACCCGCTTCCTTTAAATTTCCCACCCCCCCCCCCCCACTGTACCTGCTGCAAAAAGGGAAAAACTCTTCTTCATAAATCTAAACTTTCTGTGGATAACACGTTACAAAACACAGTAGAGGAGAAAAATTGGAACAGAAGTACTGCACACTAAAGGGAAGCAGACAAGCTTACAGTTGCAGAATCCTTGTTTAACAAATTAGCCAAAAGTGAATACACCACCAAATGACAAAAATCAGAGAAGAAAGACTGCAAAGTGAGAATCAGGAGAAATATGGAGCTGCAGAGGGAGTGCAGTTCATCTCCTCCCACACACCTCTGAACTCTCCGTTGAAACACTGTAGCTCAGCCCAGGTACACCTGTTCTCTAGAAACTGGGTGGCCTTTGTAATAGCCAGTTCCAATAACAAAAGTGCAGGTTGCTTGGTGAGAGTCGGGGAAACAGAACTGCAGAGAGATGCAGGTCATCTCCTCCTGCATGCCTCTGACTGCTCAGAATTAACTCCAAGAAATTAGGAAGAAATGTATAATCCATCAGATGACCAGAAAGCACTGCAGAGACACAAGAAAAATATATCTTCCCCAAGGGAAAAGAACAACCTTTCATCATCCACAGACAGTACAATGGAACTCGTGGAAATGTAGGTAAAGACTTTGGAATAGTCATAGTGACAAAACTAATCAAGATGCAAGAGAAGAGAGACAATGAACTCCAGAAGATGCAAGAGAAAAAGAGACAATGGCTCCAGGAGATGAGGAAGTTCTTCCACAATTTGAAGAAGAAATATATACCATAAAAAAAAAAAAAGAATCAAATGGAGCTGTTAGAGATGAAGGCTATAATACAGGAAATCAAAACCTCCCTGGAAAGTATCAAAAGCAGATTAGACCATGCAGAAGAGACTGAATCTCAGAGGTAGAAGACAAAACCACTGACCTAGGGACCAGCAGTTAGTGTAATGGCTATGTTGCTGGACTCCCATGTAGTTGACCGCGGTTCGAGTCCTGGACCCGGTGGCTTAAACTCACGCCGGGTGTGTGTGTGCATGAGTGCCCAAGATCCCAAGAGGAGAATGGAGGAGAAGAGATTGTGGTGTGGCCATCCCCCCAGGGGGTGATTTTTCACTTTCTGTCTCTCTGTCTCTCTGGCGAGTGTACACGCCCTGTAGAAAAAACCTCTCCCCTCCCCCCAAAAAATGAAAAAATATCTGACCTAGAAAAAAAATCACCTCTAAAGACTGAGAAAGTAATCCCCCAAAATGAGAATAATATATAAGAAATACTAGATAATATTAAACTCCCAGACATCCAGATAATTACCTTCTGGTATCCGACAAGGTAAAGAAACGTAATGGCATTGATATTCTTTTCTAATCCTAGAAGAAAACTTTCCAAACCTAGGCAGGCATTCAGATATCCAGAATGAGAAATACAAAGGACCGTAAACAGAATCAACCCAAGATTTTCCCCAAGGCACATCATAGCTGGATTGGCCAAAATCACAGACAAAGCAAGATACTAAAATTGGTAAGAGAAACGTCAAGTTACTTCCAAAGCTTACACCATCAGGGTAACACTGGACCTCTCACCAGAAACAATGCGAGCAAGGAAAGAATGGGAAACTATATTCAAAGTGTTAAATGAAAAACAATTTCAACCAAGAATACTATACCTGGCAAGATTATCCTTCATATGGGTAGAAAAGATCAAAACATTCTTAGATAAACAAAACCCAAAAGAATTTGCCAATACCAGACCAGTTCTTCAAGAAGTTTTGAAGAGAGTGCTATAACAGGAAGACTAAAGACAGACGGACAGAAATAAGAGAATAAGAAAAAGACAACCATGAAAATGACCAACTTAATGGTAGGGACAAGTCTGGAAATATCAGTTCCAGGATGTAAACGGGAAGTTCGAACCACAGTAACGCTGCAAATTCAACAGAAAAGAAGATTAATTACATGAGACCTAGCTGGTGAAATAAAATTTTATGACTTTCGATGAAAACATTACTGATTCTCTTCTATCCTTTGATTTCTAGAGTAAGATTTTTATTTTCTTTTGAGCTGTTGAAAGGTTCAGCAATTGTTAAAAAAAAATTTTTTTTTGAAATTGAAACAAACTTTTCTTCCTTCCTGACCTCTCTAGAATTAGAAAATGTGTGTGAGCATTCTTATTTTGTGGCAGAAAGGTTAATTGTGTAAGTTCAATAATATCTGTTGCCTTGCATCAGAAATTGGAAATACTGGTTAGAGCCAGGGCGTTGACTGGAATGTCATATTTGAAGATATGACCAGAAAGCTAAGGAACTAAGGTAGACCTAAGAAAGCCAACAGAAACTCTTGGAAAGATTGTCTGGTACCATAAACAGTTCTGCCTGCCAGGTAAGTAAAGAATTCCACTTCCTCGGGAACCAGCAGTTAGTGTAATGGCTATGTCACTGGACTCCCGCGTAGTCGACCACGGTTCGCATCCCGGACCCGGTGGCTTAAAACTCACGCCAGGCACGTGTGTGTCCGTGCCCAAAATCCCGAGAGGAGAATGGAGGAGAAGGGATTGCGGCGTGACCATCCCCCCTGGGGGGTGATTTCTCCCTTTCTGTCTCTATGTCTCTCTCTGTCTGTCTGGCGAGCACATGTGCCCTATAGCAAAAACCTCTCCAAAAAAAAAAAGAAAGAAAATAATTCCACTTCCTGACAGCCAGAAAAAACTTCAATTACAGGTACTTGAAGACACAGTCAGTTGGTGAATTTTTGACGTGGCTCAGCAGACTGGAGGAGCTTTTTAAAGAGTCTAATCTGAAGTTCCTTATAAAAGTATCCAGCAAAGCCAACTAAATCAGTTAGTATTCTTAGGGGACTTGTGTAAGTAACAGACCAAATTGAGACAAATTTTTTTTTTCTTCCAAAGAAGTTAGTTTATGCTTCTCTGTAGTAAAAGGAAGAATGAAGAGAGAAAAAAAAGTTTCAGAAGAAAATTACGTGCACTTGTTGCTAGATTGTAGCTTTGTCCATATACATTGCTTGACTTTTTAGTATCTTCCTACTGTTTGACCAGAATCCTAACCTTTTTCCTGGCTTTAAGTCTTAAGCAAATTATCTTAACATTTTTAAAATTTTGATTTATTAAAGCTAAAACTGCTTTTCTTGAAATTAAAATAAATAAATAAATAGCATACCTACATATTGGCTGCACTCAGCTATATAGCCTCAGCTAGGTGCTGCTTCATAGTATGTTCATTCTTACTGAGTTTTATGCCTAAAGTCAGATATCTGTTTATAAATATGTTTATATGAACTGCACTTACTATTGAAATTATTTAATTTAATTAAGATCTTTTGTGAATCAATAAAATTTGGAGGAAAAAAAACAAAAAAAAAGAAAGCAACTGTAGATACCAGAGACAGTGTGGGAGGAGGGTGGGAAATGGCAGAGAGTGAGAGAGAGGGAATCAAGGTGGGGGGGGAAGGGGAGAAGTAAAATATATAAGAAACAAGAAATGGAAAATGTATTTGTTGAAGACAAAATGTGTGGTAATGTCTTTGATTGAGCCAATATATAGTATATTCTGGATGGAAAAACTCATTTTGTATGCTACAATGATAGACAGTGAATGAATGTAAAATAAATAAATTTAAAATAAAAATATTTTTAAAATGAAATAAAATAATTTCCTTTTAATCAAAAAAGAAAAAAGAATGACCATCCTGGGCCAGCCAGGTGATATGGTGGTTATGGTGGTTGGTTCCCACATGGCCCATTGCAAGGCCCGAGTCTAGGACCTGGTGATTTGAAAAACACGCCAGACATGTGTGTGCGTGCCCAAATCCTGAGAGGAGAAAGAACTACAGAGTGGTCATCCCCCCACTTTCCCTGGAGGTGATTTCTCTCTCTTTCTGGTGAGCTCATGCACCCTGTACCAAATTAGAAGAAGAAGAAGGAGAAGGAGAAGAAGGAAGAAGAAGAAGGAAGAAGGAGAAGGAAGAAGAAGGAGAAGAAGGAAGAAGAAGGAGAAGAAGGAAGAAGAAGGAAGAAGGAGAAGAAGGAAGAAGAAGAAGGAAGAAGGAGAAGGAAGAAGAAGGAGAAGGAGAAGAAGAAAGAAGAAGGAAGAAGGAGAAGAAGGAAAAAGAAGGAAGAAGGAGAAGAAGGAAGAAGGAGAAGGAGAAGAAGGAAGAAGAGGAGGAGGAGGAGGAGGAGGAAAAGAAGAGCCATCCACAATGGTGACACATGGTGAAGGTCCTGGGTTTGCATCCTGGGACCTCCCTGAGCAGACTGGGCACAGGCATGTGTCTGTAATCCAGACCTGGGACTGGGGGTAGATTATAATGTGAAGGCCTTCTGGAGTGTACCCGAATCTGTCTTTTGCTCACTGTCTCTGTCTCTCTCACAGAAGAAATAAACTTTAGAACAAGAGAAAAGGAATGATGTCCTGAAGGACATGCCCTCAGGGGAGCCCACAGAACCCCGGTGAGCTTGTCCTCAGCAACCTCAGGGCAGAGTACTCAGAGGGATGCTATGGCTGCAAGTAAGGATAAGATGTGCAAAACTAGGAAGACAGCTGCACAGAAAGGGAGGTAATAGGAAGTGTGAGATGGCTTATGGCAAGCCCTGAACAGCGAGGTCTGACGTGTACTGCAGCTCAGTGAGGTGAAGTGTCATGGCTTTGGTCTTGGCAGGAGGGCCGAGAGGATGGGACACAGGGCTGAGCCTTGAGGAGCCTGGCCACAGCTCAGCAGAAAGGAGAGAATCCTGGACAGGGAGCCTGGTTTCAAAGGAGGTGACCTTTTCATGAGGGAGGGGACAGAGCCACACATTCTTAAACCTCAGAAGGGTGGCGTTTTAATGATATGTTTTTGCATTCACTGGTGGAAAGCACCAAACTCCCTCCTGTCTCCTCTAGGCCGACTCAAAAAAAGAAAAGAAAAAAAAAGCAGTCATTTTCAGTTCTCTTCTGTTGTAAGTTTTGCTCAGAAATGAGGTACGTTGCTGGAGTCTGTTATAATCATTGTAAGAGCAATGCTGAACATTTCTGGCATGTCAGGCCCTGTTCTAAACTATACGTATTAACTCATTTAATTCTCAGAACAATTCGTTAAGATAGTTGTAGTATTATACTATGTAGAGACGAGGAAACTGAGGCAAGAATATTATGCCTATGGTCACTGAGTTAGGATGCCAGAACCAGGATTAGGGTTTAGGAGATCTGATTCCCAAGCCTATGTGACAGTGCTTACCAAAAGCCCACCCACCTCCTTCCTGGGCATGTAGTAGCTTCTTTTCAGACCACTTGCGGTTGGGCAGAAAAATGAGACCAGTTCCGTCCAATACTGTGAGTGGAAACATCACATATGACTTCTGGGCTGAGGCAGTGAAAACCCTTGTGTGGTCCTGTTTCTCCCCTCCCCTACTGCAGCTCACAGGGAGGCCCTGGATTGAGATGGTGGAGTCTCAGGATGAAGACTGTCTGAATCCCCACTTAGAAGACAACTGCCTGGAGAGTCACCAGGATGTGCAGTGAACTTTGTATGAACACAAAAATGGAGTTTGTTAAGATTGAAGGGTTAGGAGCCAGCAGGTGGTATGGTGGTTAAGGGGCTGGACTCCCACATGGCTGACCATGGTTTGAGTTACGTACCTAAGCATCTTGCTTTCTCACTTTCCTCTCTCTCTCTGTCTCTCTCTGGCCAAATTAAAAATTAATAATAATGAATAAATAAAATTAAATAATTCTTTTTAAAAAAGATTGAGAGGCTGTTTATTATTGCAGCAAAACCTAGCCTACTCTCACTAATATACTCACCTTTCCTCATCTCCTAGGTTTTCTTTTTTTGTTCAGGCAATAAATATACCAACACTCTACATTCTCCAATATGAAGGATAAACTGGCGCTTACAATAAATGATTTTTCCCACACTTTCATCCTGAAGTTTTTTGGTTTTGTTTTTGTTTTTGCCATAGGGCGGGTGTGCTCACCAGAGAGAGACGGTGAGAGGCAAAGTGAGAAATAACCCTCCTGGGGGGATGACCATGCTGCAATCCCTTCTCCTCCATTCTCCTCCTGGGATTTTGGGCACACTGCTCACATGCACCTGACATGATTTTCAAGTCTCCAGGTCTGGGTCTCAAACCATGGTCGGTCATGTGGGAGTCCCACACTTTAACTACCACAGCACCTGCTGGCCCCCATCATGAAGTTTTCTTCTGGATCCAAGAGGTGCGTGCTTATATGATTGTGTATGCATGTATGTGGTTCTCCTCCTGGGATTTTGGGCACACTGCTCACATGCACCTGACATGATTTTCAAGTCTCCAGGTCTGGGTCTCAAACCATGGTCGGTCATGTGGGAGTCCCACACTTTAACTACCACAGCACCTGCTGGCCCCCATCATGAAGTTTTCTTCTGGATCCAAGAGGTGCGTGCTTATATGATTGTGTATGCATGTATATGGGGTTTCTTTTTTCTTCTTCTTTTTTTTTTTTTTTTGCCCCTTTTTTTCATCCCTCCATCCTTCCCTCTCTTTTTTTTTTTTTGAGAAAAATCTGAAATATAGAACAACATAAAAAAGATAAACATCCTAGCTTCTGCCATCCAGAATTTATAGTTGTTAAATTTTTGCCATATTTGTTTCAGATTTTCTTTCTATAAATTAATAAAACATTGCAGCCATGGGCTACTTACCCAACTCCCACCACCCTCTTCAGTCCTATTTCAGTCCTCTGCATAGGCCTTTGTGACCTGGGAACTGCTAATATCAATGTGGGCTGCTTCTGTTGAGTCCTGTTTGTGCTGTCACACGCACACAGCTAGGCAAGTAGGTGGGTAGGTAGGTAAACATATAAACCCACGCACACACACACAATGGTTTGTGTTTCTAATGCACATAAAGGAGATCTAAACTTGATTTCGACTCAGAATGATATTTTGAGATTTTCCACAATGATTATATAGAAAAATCAGGTTTTCACTTTATAGTCCATCATAGCAAGTACCACATTTTACTATCAGTTTCCCTACTAGTGGACATTGGGATTGTTTCCATTTATGCTCAGTGCTACAGTTGACATCCTTTCATGTGTCTCCTTGTCTCCATGCAGGAGTGTTTCTCTAGGGGCTGTAAAAAGAATTGTTGGGTTCAGAGAAATTTAGAGTATCATTTTTTAGTTATGCTTGATATTGCCAAATGATTCTTTTCTTTTCTTTTTTTTTGAGAGGTTTTTGCTATAGGGTGCATGCGCTCACCAGAAAGAGAGACAGAGAGAGACGGACAGAAAGCGAGAAATCGCCACCCAGGGGGATGGCCACGCCGCAATCCCTTCTCCTCCTTTCTCCTCTCGGGATCTTGGGTACGTATGCACACATGCCCGGCATGAGTTTAAGCCACCAGGTCCAGGACTTGAACCACAGTTGGCTACATGGGAGTCCAGCGACATAGCCATTAGCTAACTGCCGGTCCCAGCCAAATGATTCTTGAAGAGGGGCCAGATCAGTTTATACTGGGCACAGCTATGACTAAAGCTTATGTTCCACACTCACATCTCTGCTCTGTGACCCAACACAAAGTTAAATATTTCACTTGTAGGGAATCTTCTCGGTGAACTGCTCTTATCAACTAGATGGCTATGTTTTACATTTTTAAGTTTTTGTAAAAAGAGATATAGCTATTATTTTTTTTAAATCATAAAAATACAAAGAAATCCTACTATCCAGAGAAAAGCATCAGCATTTTGGTGAACCTTCCAAGCATTGCTGATGTTACATATAATACATGAAACCAGGCTGTGCTGGTCTGTCACCTGCCTTTTCACTCAAAGGCATATTATGGGCATCTTCAGATAGTTTTCCAAAACTCTGAAACGCTAGAGGCCAGACAGTGGTGCAGCAGTAAAACACAGCAGTCTGCCAGGCAGATGCACGTGGGAAGGTTACTGGTGTGTGTCTGGAGACCTCCCTGGTCTGCCAGGCACTTGTGTGCCCGTGACTTAGGCTGACGCAGCTAGAAGTGGTTTGTAGTGTCAAGACTCTGTCAGGGGTGTTATCTCTATTCCTCTCTCTCTCTGAATACATAAACGTTAAAGAGCCAATGTTGTGATTTCCCCTGGTTTGCGCTTGTGCTGAGGTTAGAGGTAGAGGAAGGTTAGGGAGGAGAGAGAGCGAGCAGTGAGGAAGGGCTCCGTGTGTGCACTTGCTCTGATTTCCCCTTCCCGGCCACCCTGAGTGACAAATGCTGCTACACGGTCCACACAGTCAAGGTCACGGAGGACCATGGAGGCAGAATTCAGCAAGGTATCTGTCCTACTCTGCATCAATCACCTCCCCCAGTCCTCTGAGGGATAAAAACCGTGAAGGTGATTTGAATAGGCAGAAGGCACAAGCCCTGGTCTCACCACAACTTCTGAAGCCAGTAGGGTGAGAATATGAAAAATCTGCCCTGCTGACGTGGGCCCCATGCTCTCCCATCTCCCACCCAGGAAAGAGGGCAGCGGCATCTTCCTGAAGGCCGTCTGAGGAGGGTTCACGTGGAAACGTTGTGGAAGGGATGGGGAGAAGACATGTCTTGAATGGGTGGTAGCAGCCAGATCCTGAACAGGGTGTTGACTTCTCCCGGACTTGCCGGGAGGGGCAGGGGATCAGGGAACACAGGGAGGCAGGGATCTGGTGGCTAGTGGACGTCAAGCTTGCAGTCAGTGGAGGAGGAAAGTTGCCAGACCCCCCTCTGAGCCCCCTGGGAGCGCCCAGAAGAAGATGCTGAGAGCTGGGGTTACCACAGCTTCATGTAGCCCGAGGAGCAACAGTAAAGTAGACTGTCGCAAGGCCAAGCCTGTGGCTTCATTTCACTCCTGGGATTATCTGCATCACATAGAAACCCAGGACTCCAATTTTTCAGAGACTAACTTTTGTTTTAGGAAAATAAAGGAATGTGATGTTTCTTTTTTTTCCATATATGTGTGTGTGTGTGTGTGTGTGTGTGTGTGTGTGTATACATATATTTAATTTAATTGCCAAAGGGCATGTGCACTTGCCAAAGAGAAAGAGAAACAAAGACACAGAGAGGAAGAAATCACCCTCAGTAGGGCATGGTGATGCCGTCATCCCTCTCCTCCCTTCTCCATCCCATCAGGATTTGGGGCAAATGCACTTGCATTCGATGTGTTTTTTCAAGTGACTGGGCCAGGATTCAAACTGTGGTTGGCCATGTAGAATCTGGTTCCCTTAATCACTAGGTTATAGGGCCAGCTGTGAAACATGACAGGTCTTGATTTGAGCTATCTGTGGTTAAAATGCAGGGTTGACTACATGGTCATGAGACCCATGCAGTCAGTCACATGGAGCTCCACTCTCAGACGGACCTCACACTTGGCTTAAAGCTCTGCCGTTGCCATCTTGAAACTCTTCATCATGTTTGAACAAGAAGCCCCACATTTTCATCTTGCACTTACGTGAATATATATAACCAGTCCTGCTAAAATGTGTGCCTCCTACAACCCCACGAGGCAGAAGTTCCAAAAGTCTTATATCTTTAGGGGAAATCCTCACTGAGAGAGCATAAGAAACTAAGGAGAAGGTTAACCACTGGCCACCCCCCTGCCCTGCTCCCGCATCACGACCACTTCGTGTCTGCTCACACTGTCCTGTGTCTGTCATGTTCACTTGCCAAAGGGGTTAGTTACCCACACCCTTTCCATGAAAACAGAGCTAAACGGAAACTTAATATGTGTTACTACGAAGCTGAATATGCAAACATTGTGGCACGTAGGAGTAATTGAGATGAGAGCAGAGCTGCTCAGGGGGTCACTTGGGGGTGGGTTTCAGTAGAGAAGACTTGACAGTGCCAGGGACCCCGGGCGGTAACACATGCGTCAGGGCATCCCTGGCTTCCTCCCAGTATTGAGCCCTCGGAACCCCAGCCACACAGTGTGGAGTGTCTCCCTGCAGAGTCGGCATCCTCTTGTTCCTTTTCATTCGTGCAGATCTTGAGAAGTTATAAATCAATCTGGAGTCTTTGTAAGTGTTTGGAACTGAAAAAGTTGCTTTTGAAGCCATCAGATTCTGACATTTATGATGTCTCTGCAGTTTGTTTCCAGATTCTTGGAGCTTAAAAGACTCCTCTATGGAGTGAAGATGCTTTTTTCCCCCGGTTCTAAAGAATGCGCTGCTCTGACCTGAGGCTTCAGAGAAACTCTAACCAGGCCCAAGTGTGGGGGGCTGCTGGGAGCACATAAGGTTGAGGGTTTGATGTTTTGTTTTTGTTTTTGAGAGAGATTTTTGCTCTAGGGTACATGCACTCACCAGAGAGACAGAGACAGAGAGATAGAAATCACCCCCCAGGGGGGATGGCCATGCCACAATTTCTTCTCCTCTTGGGATTCTGGGCACACATGCGCACGTACCCAGCATGAGTTTCCATCCACAGGATCCAGGGCTTGAACCATGGGAGTCCAGTGACATAATCATTACACCATCTGCTGGCCCCTTGGTGTTTACAGTATGACCAAGAGCTAAGAGGACGGGGCGCAGCCCCCCTCTGACACAGACTCCTCTATGCTCCCCTTTGCACTCACAGAAA